CATTGTTGATGACAGTTTCAGTTGTAAAAAGAGATTAAGTGAATCGTAGCATAAGTGATGAAGTTACAGGCCTAGCTTCCCTCCAAGACATGTTGTCTACCTTTACAGTGGCCCACTCAGGCTGTGATGCGTTTTTTCTGAGATACCCTTCCATACAGAGTCAGGACTGTTTAAAGAGGCCATCAATATCAGGCACTTTGGCACGTGTTATGAGTTTTATGGTACAAGGAAAGCTTTGTAACTGTGCCTGAACTGTGACAGTCCATGGGTCTGATTGCAGACTATATTTGTACTGCTAAGTGCCTTGGGAGCAGCAGCCCAAATTTTGTTCCATATCATAAGGAGAGAGAATGTGTTTATTCAAAAAAAAAAAAAAAAAAAAAAAGTCACAAAAATTATTTGGAACAAATGAATGTCAAAGGAGATCTCTGAATAGTGCAGTGTAGCCAGAGTTGGTATTCTAAAGTGGCCAGTTCATTCCAAAATAGCTAAACTGGTAGCAAGGGAATTATTGAGTTCAGTTATTCTCAGTGTTTTTCATTAGACTTAGGTATTGATTTTTAACTAATTATCACTTACTACAGGTCACTGCAAATCCAAAGTTATGAATTTGGAAAAGGAACTTAAGCATGGCCAGGGAATCATGACTTATAATTGAGGCTCAATTAGGAAAAGAACGTGGATTTTACAGGTGTAGAAATTGTACTGTTTTGTCACTGTTAGAAGCTTTTAATGATGTAAATAAAGAGAAATCAATTATTTTCAATTCTAACAGACATACAAGGAAAAAATGTTTTACCAGCAGAATAGTTCAATTCTGAAGAAGCGGACAATTAAAAAGTCTTTGGTTTCTGTTACGTTTAGTGGTATGTGGATTCCAGGTTATGTATTTTAAATGGACAATTAATTGCAGAGAAAGGGAGGGAGGCCTCATCCTGATTGCACAGCTATGTCATTGATCTTATGTGGTTTTGGCTTCTATTTCTTTTATCTTAAAAGACGTGTGACCCTGTCCATGAAGTCAGGAGAAAACAACCTAGAGAGGTCCAATGGGACTCTATTAAAGACAAAGTCTTCTCACAGAACAAACAAGAAACAACTAAAATAAAGACTATTAGACTATTTTATGGAACTTCCACTGCCAAAGCTAGTAGCAGTCTGAGGTGAGAAGTGATGAAGTGGAAGGCTTTCTTGTTCAGCATCAATCAAGAAGTGCTGAAGAGCAAATTCATTGCATACAGAGCATAAAGAACCCAAGCTGATGAACTCTCTGTATCTGTACTTCTTCTAAGAGTGTAGATGAAAATTGTAACAGCTCCAGAAACACTAGTATATAACGCTTCCAGTTTTGTCAGTGCTCAGACAAAGGTGACTGGGGTCAGATGGTCTAGACTGTGGAAAATCCTGAGCTGAATTTTTCCTTGGTGATCTCTCACCCACCAGTGCCATACATTTGAGATAAGTGAAATATTGGTTTCTGATTGCATTCTTGCGTGTAAATTATGTAGAGGATGTAAAGGACCAGCAAAATATTTTCTGACTTTCCATGGTATGCTTCTCATTTAGACTGTGTTAAATTCTCATTAAAGTCGGTGATTGTGTGTGGACCTTTGCATATCATTTACCTTATTGTAACCAGGGATATTTGTGAATCTGATTGCCCCGTCCTTTTTCTTACAGGCAAGATGTGACAGGAGGTCATTCTGAAAAATTTCAACAGGAGATGACCTCAAGTTAGTCACTAACCATGGGGTCTGGAGCTTTTTGGATAAGTTTGGCATCACTGTCCTAGCTGTGGGATCCAGAACCCTGTCTGTGTGATCTAAACTTCTGGCTAAAGACTCAAAGTGAGTTTGAACTGGCTATAGGAAGAAACAGCCTCAGGATCATTCCCAGTACTGTTTTCCTTATAACGCCCTGTACTGAGTGGCTTCTTTTCTTTTCACAGACTTCGTGTGGACTCAAATTCTGTTATATTTTAAAATAAGAGTGATCCGTATTAAAGAAGCCAGTAAAGCCTTTCTATAGTTTTGTCAACAGCATGTTTCATTTTTTCAAAAGCTTTCTGACTCCAGTGGCATCAATCATCAAAGCAACTCAAACTGTTTAGACTGCTTCTGGACCTTGCTTGAACTATCCATCAGGGGGGCTTTGGGAATAGAAGAACAGCAATTTTTTAGAGAAGATGGAACAGTAAGGAAAAAGCTAAGCCATGTCCTTTGTTTGATTTCTCTTGTGAAATGAAACAAAAGAAAAAGATACTGAGCTGTCTGGACTAGTAGAATGAGCAGTTCAAAACACTACATTTTCAATTTGTTTCACTGGAAAGAAGTTCTTTGCTGCTACCATTTCTTCTGTTGTATAAAATACCTGTTTGCTCTTTAAAATGTTCTAAAAATATATAAGAAAATGCGCACTCTATGAACTGAGTTACTTCTGCCTCTTCACTTGCTCCTGTCAGCTCTCCTACTTATGTTTATTTGTCTTCAGATTTTCCTAATGTCCTGATTTTTCTGCTGCTGTTGCCAGCACTTTGAGAGATAGACACATCACAGAAGTGAGAAAAGGAAGAATCCAATAATAACATTGGAGTTAAATTCATGGATTTGTGCTGCAGTTTTTGTTAGAGATCTCATGGACAACCTGCATTTATTTTACGTTTCTGAATTTTTATATAGAATATAAATAAGGATGGCAGTAACTCTCTGTTTTTCAGAGATCATGTGAGGCTAAACAAGAGCATGTGCAGTTCATACTTTGAGAATTGGAGTTATATGAGTACTTTGGGTAGATGTATTAATTGTGCTCCTCTGAATGCTTCCCTTGAATTACCTGTCTCACCAGGACAATTGTGATATGAAGTAGCTTCTAATATCCATTGCAGTAAATACAAAAGCCAAGAACTATGGAAATGTCTTTAAGACATTTTTGAGCAAGGAATTATTTACCTCAAGTTTAGGATAAATCAAAATGAGATATTTTATCATCCACAAAAATTAGGTGTGTCCAACATAGGAATATTTGGTCTTGATAACAAAATAATAAATACAAGGTTATGGATCTAAATATGAGAAAATGAGTCTCTGTTGTAAGTGGGCAGACATAGAAATAGAAAGCAACCCTATCACTTTAGTCTAGCAGTTTGTTTGTTTAGCTACCATCATCATTATTTTCTGAGACCTTATGTTATCAGGTAAGTTTAGCACTGTACTTAATTTACTGAATGCTGCACTAATAAACAGTTTTGTTTACCCTTTAAAAATGGTATTGTAATTTCTTTTCATTTGCATCCTATTGTACACAAGCATAGATGTTATGTACACAATACACTTTAATTAACAGAGAGAAGTCTGAGGAAGGCTAATCACATTCTTACTACCAAAATCTATCCTGACTGCCTCTCTGAGGGAAAATGTGGGAAGTGATGTGCTCCCTGGGGGGGGCAGAGGGGGTGGGTGGAAAGAAACAAACACAAAAATATTTTCTTTGATTAGCTTTATTGGTCACTGAAGGTCATTTTTCTTCTAATGAGGTATAGCTGCAGGTGTCTTTTATCTCTATATAAATAAGGAGCTTGTGAATACTGAAAACTCCTGAGGGACTGGTTTGTGTGTTTAATGTTTCTCTTTGATATCTGAAGAAATAGTAAATAGTTCTTATATACTATATGCAAGGCTAGGCCAGAACATCTGCACTCACTGAATATATCTGACATAAATTTCCATGTTGAAAATGTCTCTTCTGCATCTATTTAACATGGTCTAGTTCAATTCAAGTTCCAAACTTCACCTATTTTTAAAGGCTTGTTATGTAATTTAAGTCCCTGTAGTATTTTTTTCCAGAGGTGTCTCATGCAAACCAGGGAACTCCATTTTGAACTGATTAAAACAAACTGCTTCATATCCAAGGACTGGAAATAACCACTGTTCCTGCACCTACTTTTATGTCCTTTGTACACAGTAAAACTAAGTTGATTCACTTGGAAGTTTACATATTGACTTTGTTCTTTTTTTTTTTTTTTTTTTTTTTTTTTTTTAAAATGAAGAATTTCAGGGAAAAAAGGCTATAAAGTGTTAATGGACACAGAGTGCTGATCATTGGCCCACCGTCCAGGTGGAGATCAGTAATGCGTGGTATCCCTTAGTGGTCGGTACTGGGACTGGTGCTTTTTATGATCTTCCTCAAATACATCAACAGTAGGATCAGCTGTACTTTCCTCAAATTTGTGATGGCATCAAGCTGTGTGGTGCAATTGATGCACTGAGGGATAGAATGCCATTCAGTGAGACCTAGACAAGTTCAAGCAGTTTGCTCTGGTGAAACTCATGAGGTTCAACAAATCCAAGTGCAAGGTCTTGCACCTGGGTTGAGGCAGCCCTCACTACCAGTACAAGCTGGGAGATGAAAGGACTAAGCACAGCCCTGCTGGAAGGGACGTGGAAGTACTAGTAGATGGTAAGCTGAATGTGAGTCAGTAATGTCCCTCACAGGCTACAACAAAAATGTGACCAGAAGGCTGAGGGAGGTGACTGTGTTCCTCTGCTCTGGTGAGACTTCACCTGGAATACTCTGTCCAGATGTGGAGTCCTCAGTACAAGAGAGATGTGGTCCTGTTGGAGCACATTCAGAGGAGGGCTCCAGAGAGTGCCTTTTCAATATCGAAGGCTGGGGCACAGGAAACCAGGATCTGAGGTGACAGTACAAGGGGAAATTACTTCAAACTAAAAGAGGGGAGATTTGGATTTGTATTTAGGAAGAAGGTTTTTTACAGAGAATGGTAAGGCACTGGAACAGCTGTTCAGAGGAGATGATGGGTGTCCTGTTGCTTGAAGCATTAAAAGTCAGACTGAACAGGGGTCCAAGCAGCCTGATCTAGCTGTGGGTGACCCTGTTCATTGCAGGGGAGTTGGACTAGGTGAACTTTTACGGTCCCTACCAACTCAAGCAGTTCTATGATTCTATGGAAGAGTGAATTTGACTTTTTCCTTTGAAAGACTCACCTTGTATACTTCATTTCATTCTTCCACAGTGAATTTCTTTTTAGTAGAACTTTTCTGGTATTCCAAAATATATCTGGAAGTGTTAAGAAACTGAAAATAGAAAAATGTTAGCAATCCCTTTATAGTTTTGGTGTCTTGAAGAAATTGCCAAAATAATTTGAAACCCTGATTCATTACTAAGTGCAACTGATTCAGTACTTTCCTTTGAGATATAAGGGAAATCTTCAGGACTGGTTTTGATATGAACACCTATCAGGTAAGTATAAATTATACCCATAAAACATAGCTTTAGAGTATAATGTAAGTCATATGTATATATACTCCTTGGTTGGAGGAGAACAGGTATCACTATTTTTCATAGTCTTCCAAATTAACCAGAACATCTCCTTACCAAAATGCTGTACATGTCTCCTAAACTGATTCCATCTAAATCAGTAAATATTCTATGTTTAATTGTAAATATGATTTAAGTTCTTCTGTTTTAATGACAGTTAAGCATATTTCTGACATTCTTTTCCATAGCTATTTTCCCACACTAATGTTATGATGTATGGAATAGACTCTCTGTGGGAAAACACCCAAAATCCAGAACTGTTCTCTTTGTCCTTAGTGTTCTGATTTAATCTCTTTTAAACCTAATTTCTTTTAAGCCAACCCAAACTAGTAATGCTATCACTCCAACACCAACCATATCTTTACACTGAAGAAGGTAATTGAAAATGTTTTGAACAACTTGAATTTCATCAGTGACAAACACTGTCTCCTTAAACACAGGTCTACTTCGAGAAATGTTTAAGTGGCATTTTCATGTTCCTGTGTACTTTCAAATCATAAGGAACAGAGATAAATCAACTGCTGTTTATTTCAGCTAGCATTGCAGAGTCAATACAGTCAAGAATAGTAAGAGCTTATTCTTTTTTTCTTCTCACACACTGTGAAAAGAACTTTTACCATGGCTGCAAAGGCTGCAGTGTTGTGAACCCTTCTACTTCCATGTGCCTAAGGCCTTAATTCTTGCGTTAGAGTATCTATCAGGTGCAAGGGAAGGATGAGAAATTATAATACGGATTTGAAAATATGATGTTAATCCTCCATGCTAACAAATGGAAGGCAACAATTTATTGTAAATCTACAGAGGAAGAGCATTTCTACTAGGTATCCGTGTAATATGTGAATGGCAGTAATGTGGTGATATTTGAATTTCACAAATTTTATTTTACCCAAAAGTTACTTTACTCCAATTCTGTGATTAAATAAAACTGAAAAACAGATGAATTTTGCAAATATATTTTATAATTTTATAGTGTTAAAGTCTCCATTACACTTTTGGACAGGGATGATGTTTCCCCTTTGACGACCTGACTTGAAATCTATCAGATCTTGATATTTCTAATTTTGTTTTATGTTATTCAAGCTCTTGCACTTCTTAACTGAATTACAACTAAGATTCATTCAGGCATCACTTTCTCCATGCTTCTGTCATCATACTATCCATTACAAGGTATGCTGATCTAGGATTTCAATTTTTGTTTAAAAGCCTTTATAATATTGCATTTAACAAGACCCAAATTCCGGAAAATACTTTAAAAAGTTGAAGAAAAGTAATTGAGTAATTATGGAAATGAGCTGCTAAGTGTCATATATGTGATTTAATCATATTTACTGTAATGACAGTGTGGGAAACTGATTCCCAGGAAATCTTAATTTATTTCTAGAAAGGGCAGGGTGCAGCACTGAATGTTTCAGTATTCAAAACCTTTTACATGTGGAGGTGATTCTCATACAGATGTAAGAAAATCCTCTGAGAAAAAAAATACATATACTTTTTTTTGGTGTAGGCTCTGTGTTTCAGATAAGAGGGGACCTGAAGACAATGTCTATTTCATCCTTTTACTCCAAAGCACCATCATCTATGTCTACTCTTCTATTTATCGCTCTTTACCAAACCCATTCTTTGTGACCTGCAATAATGAAGTCACCATACTTTTCCCAAGCAGAGTGTTTCAGGAATTTACTGTCCCCTTACCATTTAGAAAGTGTATGATAATGACTAACCTGGACTTTCCTTGATGCAATTTAAGTCCATTACTACTCCTTTATCTGTGAAGAGCAAATTATTACCAGATTGTCGAAGGAGGTTTTAAAGTATCTGAAGGCTGCTCACTGCGTCTTCTCTTTTCTAAACTAAATATTCTCGATTTAAAAGACTGAGATGAATTAGTACTAAAATCAACTATCAAAAATAATAATTCATTGAGAACATAAAAATCTATTTATAAAGTTACCTTCTATCATAATAGGAACTGATTATAGGCTATTTAAAAATAAATTTTCAGTGTTTTGCCTAGCATGAAAGCCAGTCAGGAACGTTCATATGAAATGTTATTTTTATTCTTCAAACTTAAAATTTTTCTTTCAAAATGTGTCTAGTTTGCTCATATTTGGAAAGGAGATGCAGCTGTAGTGGGAAAATGTATGTAATCCAGCTCTGAGACATGGGGAGTGCAATGCTTAACTATTAACTCGGTTAATATTCAGCTGAGGTTGTGACCCATGCTGTGAACAATTTGGGATGTGAACTTCAGCTCCTCATACCGCAGGTGAGTTTTCTAACCTTTTTTTCCTGGTCTGGGGAAAGGTTCCTTTGTGACTTTTCACTTTCACAGGGCTTTGTTTCATATTGGCTACTACATTTGAAATGTTAAATATTTTCTGGATGAGAGCATCCCCTTTCTGTTTCAAACTGAAGTTCAACTACACATAGGTCAAGGAAGAATATTCTGTGGAGTCACAAAGTGAAATCAGAGAAGAAGCATAAAACTGTTGTGTATTTCTGACATTCTGGATATAACAGAGGAAGGACAGATAGTGTGCTGCACCAGGGAAGTAAAAACTTGCGTAACTTTGTCTTGCAGGACACTGTTGTACTGCTGAGAATTGTCTCCTTAAGCAGCAACCCATTAGCAGCGAGGTGGTGGCTTCCATGGAGACCATGAAACCTTCTGTGGCATGGCAGAGACTTAGTCATAGATAGTCATAGATATATCCAGAGCTCAACTAGGAACTTAGATGCATAGTTGGATTCACATCCGTGGTTTGCATGGCCCAGCACATAGCTGCCTTGCACACTTCAAGAACCACGGGGAAATTCTGAGCTGAAATGCACAGCCCAAGTGAAGAAGGATCCTGAGAAGATGCACTCAGACAACCATATAGAGCAGCCACAAAAATCTGCTTTTTTGCAAGCTCGACAAGGAGGCATCTACTTATAGTAAGCCTTTCTAATTTGTTTTGCCAAAAACTGGATTTATTATTAGAGAAATTAGCTGCAAGTGAGATTTCTAAGAAACCATACATCCAAATAATAAAACCAAGTAAATAACTATAATATTGACTTGTTCAAGAACTATATTCATGGCTCTGTTTTCTACCAAGAAATTTAACTGAATGCTCAAAATTTGCTGGTATCTTAAATTTCACAGAATCACAAAGTTCTTTTCAACTTTCCCTTACGGTACTTGTTGGCTATCGGTCTCGTGCCAGTATTTAGCATCTCAGCCAACATACCTATCACCCATAGCAGTAGATCATAGAAACATTGAGAGAGATGCACATAGTGACCATTTTAAGCTGGTTAAACTTTCTGTCCACTACTAATACGATGCTTCTCTAAAGTGAACTTCCTCTCTTTTTTTTTTTTTTTTTTTTTTTTTTTTTTTTTTTTTTT